CCTTCCTTCCTTCCTTCCTTCCTTCCTTCCTTCCTTCCTTCCTTCCCTCCCTCCCTCCCTCCCTCCCTCCCTCCCTCCCTCCTTCCTTCCTTCCTTCCTTCCTTCCTTCCTTCCTTCCTCCTAGTTTTCTTCTTGTTCTTCCCTTGGTTCACATTCAGGTGTCAAATTTGTTAAAAATCTATCCCTTGGCAGATTCCCTCTCTCTATCTGTAGCTTAAAATCCAGGACCTTTTGCAAGACAAAAAAATAAATACCTGTACAGGTAAATCCTCAACTTATAACCACAACTGAGCCCAATTGATGTTGCTGAGCAAGATTGTTATTAAGTGAGTTTTGTTCCATTTTACAACTTTTCTTCCTGAGTTTGTTAAGTCAGTCATTGCACTTATGAAGTAAGTTACACTGTCATTAAGTGAATCTGGCTGTTGTGGCCCATCAACAGAGCTGGCGGCAGATTCAGAGAGTGAGGAGGTTGGGGAGGAACATGGGCCAGTCCTGGAGTCTGGGGAAGGCTCGGACGAGGACTCTGCGTTGGAGGCAGAGATGGGGCCAGGGCCATCTGACAGTTATCAGCTGCCTTCGGAATCAGAGATCAGTGGGGCAGAAGAACAGCTGGAGCCTATTCTCAGTATGTGCATGCACAGAGCAGTCAGATGAAGGGAACAGCTAGGAAAAGAGGGTTGACTTGGGAAAAAAGGCTCAGGTGGATGGTGAATGGCCCCTCCCATAGAGAATAAAGAGGAGCGAAAGGGAAGTGGTGTTTGTAGGAGACAATGAGTTCGTTTAATTAGTGTGAAGATTTGTTCCTGACTCCTTGCCAAGTATTTTCTGCTACAGCATTGCACTTGGAAGCTATCGGCCTCACAACTCTCCAAGCCTGATAAGGTCTGTGGTTGTAATTCACCCTTGAAAGACTGTTTGCCAGGTCTTTGCTGGATGTGAATGAGATGAATTCACATTAGACTAAATAAAGGGGTTTTTGTTAGGATCAGGAGTCTGCTTCATACTTTTGGAGAAGCCCAGATCAACTGACTTCCCCATGGACTTTGTTTGTCAGGGGCCACAAAAGGGGATCACGTGATCCTGGGAACCTGCAACCATCATAAACCATCAGTTTCCAAGTGTCTGAATTTTGATCATGTGCTGCAAAGGTCATAAGTGCGAAAAAATGGCCACCGGTCACTTTTTTGCAGTGCTGTCATGATTTGGAATGATCATTAAGCAAAATGGTTGTAACTCGAGGACCAAGGGTCATGTGATCCCCTTTCACGACCTTCTGACAAGCCAGGTCAATGGGGAAGCCAGATTCACTTCCCAGCTGTGCTACTGACAGTAGCGATTTGCTTAACAACTGTAGCAAGACAGGTCTTAAAATGGGACAAAGCTCTCTTCACAACTGCCTTGCTTAGCAGCAGAAACGTTGGGCTCAATTGTGATTGTAAGTCAAGGATGACATTCTCTCTCTCTCTCTCTCTCTCTCTCTCTCTCTCTCCCTCCCTCCCTCCCTCCCTCCCTCCCTCCCTCTCCCTCTCTCTCTTTCTCTCTCTCTCCCTATCAGAGTTTGTTGCAGAAAATCAAATCCAAAAAGCACACACACATAACTGATTCAACAAGATTCATTAACTTCTTTATATACAGTACATAATAACACAGGAAGTAAACGTACAATACCAATAGCAGATTCTTTCAACGTAGTAGCAGTTACGGGCAGAACACAAGCAGAGGAGGGAACAGAAGAGAACAGTTTCAGTTTTGATTCAGAGTTGCAGACCAGTTTGCAGCTTCAGAGCTCAGAGCTTAATACAGAGCCATGCCCAGGCTCCTTCCAGTTTCAGTTTCCAAACAGTCCTCCTTGTCTGACTTTGTTACCATGCCTCTGCCAGTTCATGAATATTCTGACACTCCCCTTGATTGGAATAGATACGCACACGATATTTCGGGGTTTTGCCACTCCAAATGGTCATTTTTCAGATGACTTACTGCAAGGGTTGAAATGTGACCTCCCCAGAATCTGCCTTACACCCCTTTTGTCCCCTGCCCCCCAGAGAACCGCTCAGTCCCTTCCCACCCTCCCAAGAAGACACCGAAACCTTGGGGTGGGCTCTGCTCTCTCCCCTCCTTTCTTGTTCTTCCATGTTTTGGCTGCTGCTTCTCCATTTCATGCCTGGGACCATCTCCTTGTTTCCTCCTTAATGCCATCGGATGGACTCATTGGTTTGTGTTTTGCTTGATTCTTGCTCCAAACCAGCGGTACCTACAAGGGTTGATCCCAAAAGCTCAAAACTCTGCCCGTTTTTCGATTTGTGATGAGGGTTTTTTTGGGGTGGGGGTGACTATTCCGAGTGCTCAAGTCTTCACTTGATGGTTATCCTCCTATCTGCCGCAGAGTTGGTCCTTCTTCTCAGAAGGTATCTGCTAAATGTAAATAAACGATGTCTAGCCTTGACTCTATTTTACACCAGTTTCTCCTCTTCTTTCCACGCCAACTTTTAAAGCTTTCTCGAAACCATCTGCCCTTGATTGTATCTCTGTAACCAGCCTCTATTCGGTCATCTCCTTCCTTCTGTCTCACATCACCTCCTACATTCTCTTCTCTTCCTTCCTTCCTTCCTTCCTTTCTTCTTTCTTTTTTTTCCCTTCCTTTCTCCCTTCCTCCCTCCTTCCCTCCCTCCCTCTCTCCCAATCCTTCCTTCCTTCCTCCATTTCTTCCTCCATCCATCATCTCTATCTATCTATCTATCTATCTATCTATCTATCTATCTATCTATCTATTTATCTATCTATATCTATCTATCTATTTGCTTCTTTCTTTCTTTCTTTCTTTCTTTCTTTCTTTCTTTCTTTCTTTCTTTCTTTTTTCCTTCCTTCCTTCCTCCATCCATCTATCTATCTATCTATCTATCTATCTATCTATCTATCTATCTATCTACCTATCTTTTTTCCTTCCTTCCTCCCTCCTTCCCTCCCTCCCAATCCTTCCTTCCTTGCTTCCTTCCTTCCTTTCTCTATTTCCATAACTAGTCCTGTTTGTTAGAACCTCATATAGTTGATCATTCCAGCTCCCAACAAGCTGCCTAGTGAATTCTAGGAATTGAAGCCCACATGCCCTAAACTTTCCAAGGTTGTGAAACACTGCCCTAAGAAAATTTAACTCTGATTTCTATCTGTCCTTATCTAAGGAGGCATCACCATCACACCTTTAGTATTTAGTGCTCCATCGCTGATGGTTTTCAAGAAATGATTGGAGAACCATTTGTTCAATAAGGACTCTTGCCTTGGGCAACGGGTTGGACTAGAAGACCTCGAAGGTCCTTTCCTGCCCTATGATTATACTAAAAGACCAATAAAATCCACTAATCAAGGAGAGAAGCAACCAAGAACTAAGGAGAAATTTCCGGACAGTTGGAACAATGGAATGGTTTCCCTCCAGAAGTTGTGAATGCTCCAACGCTGGAAGTTTTTAAGAAGAAGAGATTGGAAAAAAACATTTGTCTGAAATGGTGTAGGGTTTCTTGCCTGGACAAAAAGTTGGACTAGAAGACTTGCAAGGTTTCTTCCATTTTTTTTTTTTTATTCTGCTTTCCATCTTTTGGGCTGTATGGATATAAAACATTCATTCAATAACATCAAATAAACCACTCAAACTCACATCTGAGTGAAAACCTCAAACAAGTGACTTGGCTTTCTTCTGTCCACTTCTTAGAATTGCTAATGAATCACAGCTTCTGAGGTGGTGGGTCTCCATTCTAAGTATCTCACGTATGGGGTCTCCAATGTCATCCAGAGGTGACCTTCACTCTTAACGAATGTTTAACGTAAGCCAGATCAGACTGTACCAAAGAGGACATTTAAGGTAATTGCCAGGAGACAAAAACATATGAAGAATGGTTGCAGGAATTGGATTTGGCTAGTCTAGAGAAAAGAAAAAAAACTAGGGGTGACATGATAACAGTTCTCCAGTATTGGGGGGTGGGGGCTGCCACGAAGAAGAGGGGGTCGACCTATTCTCCAAAGCACCAGAAGTCAGGACAAGAAAGAATGGATGGAAACTAACCAAGGAGAGAAGCCACTCGGAGTTAAGGAGAAATGTCTTTAGGGAACAGCTTGCCTTCAGAAATTGTAGGTGCTTCATCACTGGAGGTTTTTAAGAAGAGACTGGGCAGCCACCTATCTGAAATATCATAGGGTCTCCTGCTTGATCATGGGGCTGGACTAGAAGACCTCTAAGATTTCTTCCAGCTCTGTTCTGATTCTGAAAAATCAGCCAGATCCATAGCAGGGGTGAAGTGAAAGTCCATCAAAAAGTGAAGACCCATCCAGAGGGCAGGTTGATGTCCTACCTCTTGACATTTGTCCCACACGGGAAGCCCATAAACAAAGAGGTGTAGAATCCCTTGTATGGTCATGGCTGCCTTGCTGACATTTCTGACTCACACACAAATACATACACATAGAGAGCAAGAGAGGGAGACGGCCCTGAGCAAAACACAGCTTCCTGTGGAGAAGATAAACATAGGATCCCATCTGTCTCTCTCTCTCTCATTCTCTTTCTCTTCCTCTCTCTTCATCCATTCCTCCTAAGCCACCAGAAACAATTCCAGTGTTTCTTTTGTGTTTTTCTTCATTTTAAGACACACAAAAGTGGCACTAAGCAGAGGTGTGGAACGCATTAGAGTAGGCCGAATGGAAAAAAAAACAGGTCACCTTGCTTTGTTGCTGCCTTCTCCACTATCTTGTAATTCTCTTTGATTGTAGCTTGGAAGCGTTTGAAGCCATTCTGCCTGTATCTCACCTTATTACTCCCCCTTGGAGAGTCCCTCAAGTGAGTGAAAGCAACATGAAGAGTTTGGTTGGTCCAGAAGCTAAGAGATCTCTCTTTCTCCTTTTTTTTTCCTTCCCCTTCCCAGGGCATCCCTCTGGAGCTCCTGCGTAGTCCTACCTCTGCTGGCCCTCACCTGGATGTCGGCTGTGCTGGCCATCACCGACCGCCGTTCGGCCCTCTTCCAGATCCTGTTTGCAGTGTTTGATTCCTTGGAGGGCTTCGTCATTGTAATGGTCCACTGCATTCTTAGAAGAGAGGTGGGCCTTTGAGCATGGATGATGGCAGGACGTCTGTTGGGTCTTTAGAAGGACGGGTTCTTACACTAGTGGAAATTGGAGGAAGTGGCTGGATGGAAGACAATGTTGTCTTCTACCTAAGAATCTCATTCCCTTCCATCTTTCAGTTTTGTGGCGATGGTCCACGTTTGATGGTCAAGGGACACATTTAAGATTTGGGAGAGGTGGGCAACCATAAATTAAACGATGTGGACAGGAATGGAGAGGTGGGCAACCATAAATTAAACGATGTGGGCAGGAATGGATCATTAAAACCAGTGTTTCTCAACTTTGGCAATTTTGAAGTCCACATGTACTTGAAATTTCCTGGAACGTAAACAACTAATGCCAAACCGGTGCCACCAAATTCAATGATTTACTCCAGGTTATAATAACTCCCCCCCAACCCCAATTTAGCACAACCAGATATGTTGGATTTGTCACCAGCATGTATTAACACTATTTTAAATATTTATACCATACCGCGAAAGAAAGAAAGAAAGAAAGAAAGAAAGAAAGAAAGGAAGGAAGGAAGGAAGGAAGGAAGGAAGGAAGGAAGGAAGGAGGGAGGGAGGGAGGGAGGGAGGGAGGGAGGGAGGGAGGGAGGGAGGGAGGGAAGGAGGAAGGAAGGAAGGAAGGAAGGAAGGAAGGAAGGAAGGAAGGAAGGAAGAAAGAAATAGACAGCCAGTATAGTTGTGTGTGTGTGTGTGAGAGAGAGAGAGAGAAAGGGAGAAACAGATATTGTAGATGGATGGATTGATGGATGGGTGGATGATGGAGGAATGGATGGATTAATATACAATAGATATACAATGAATATATATTATATCTATAAATATCAGAGATGCATAAATATAAGCAGATCCATCCTGTGTAATTCAGCATATTGTAAACCATCCTTGGAAAATTCCATGTGGATGGCCTTCAGACACTTTTCTAAAATCCAATAATAAATAAAAGTATTTTATGTGCCTTAAAAAAGAAACCTGATTCAGTTGTGTCGATGTTCCTGATGATGATGATCAAGAAAAGTTTAGCAAGGAGGAAAATTCACTCCCATTTTAGCCGCCAGTTCTAGTGCTTAACTAATCTCAGCTGTGATTATGAACTTTTCCTTACAGTTCCGTTAATGGCTGATTTTAATGGCTGTGCAATTGCCTGAAAACCGACGCTCATTAGCAACCTATCCCATATTTTATGCAGCGCAAGACTTGAAATTGATTCTGCCTAATGGTGCAACCTTTTTTTTTTCCACCCTAGGTGCAAGATGCTATTAAATGCCGAGTCGTGGACCGTCAAGAAGAAGCCAATGGAGATTCTGGAGGATCATTCCAGAATGGACATGCCCAGCTTATGGTAAGTGGGAAAAAAAATGCTTTGTAGGAGACGACAGATGTAGCTTTTATGGCTCCGGTGAATCCAAGATGGCACATACCAACGTGGCGCATACAGGCTGGGAATGTTTGGAGGTTAAAACATATGAAGAACAGTTGTAGGAACTTGGCATATCTTGTCTAACAAAGAGAAGGACTAAGGGTGCAGTAGAAAAACCTGGCCCATAGAATCACCAAGAATTGGACACAACTTAATGGATATCATCTTCATCATCATCATCATCATCATCAATCATCAATCATCAATCATCAATCATCATCAAACAGTCTCCCAATATTTGAGGAGCTTCCCCAAAGAAGAGGGCATGATCTCTTCTTCAGAGCACATGAGGGCAAGACAAGAAACTATGGATGGAAACCTATCAAACAAAGAATTCAATTTCCTGACATTGAGAACAATTAATCGGTGGAAGGAATTGTAGGTGTTCTATCTCTGGAGGTTTTTAAGAAGATATTGAACACCCATTTGTCTCAAATGGAACAGGGTCTCCTGCTCAAACAAAGGGTTGGACTAGAAGACCTCCAAAGTTCCTTCCAATTCTGTTATTCTGTGTTCTATTGGGAAACCACCATACTTTTAACTTGTCCCAGTTGCCGATCATCATAAAATGTGCTTGATTGGGTTTCATTGCCATTATACAAACCCATCAGAAGACTTAAAGTAAGTCAAGATGACAAGAATATAAAATGCTTCCTCAGGACCACAAGTTCATCTAGGCCACGATTACACCGTGGCAAGTAGCCATTTTCAGGAAATTCTTAAAACAAGACAGAACAGTGATCATTCTCATCCATTGCTGGTCCCCAGGTCTACATGACAGGTACCACCATCGTAAATGTATTTAATCCTTTCTAAAGATCACCTGAATTGGTGTTCAGATGTTATTGCATCTACAGGTTTCAGATTTCCTGGGTACCTATAACAGCCATTGATTAATGTGTGTCCCGGTCCACCCTGATTTCCAGATAGGATGTACAAAAGCTGCCCGATGCTTCTTGTTAGCGCCAATATTTCCCAAGTGCTTTCTTCAAGCCATCTTCTCCAGAACTGTTGGATGGCACCTGGTCATTGACCATGCTAACTCAGGGTGCTGGGAGTCATAGCCCATTGTATCTGGAGGACACCCCTTGGAGAAAGACTACATCAGTGGAATTTAAATAACCTAAGGCTGTGTCTAATAGGAGGTCATCTGCATGGATCTTCTGCAACATTGAGCCCATTGACCTCACCTGCTTTGAATGGCAAGCCCAGTTAGATGGTCTCGTTGCTTTTGTAAGACTCCGGCTTTTCATAACATTTAAACCCCGATTGAGAAGAGGGTTTATCACCCAAGATCTTTTCTCCCAATTTTCCGGGAGAAGCAATGAGGGGGAATCCGTTTCCCCCCCAAAGACAAACTTTAAGCTTCTCCCCTTAACTTTGTTTAGTAAGATGAAAAGACACAACCGATGTGCTCTAATGGTCTTCATGGCAAGGATCCAGGTTACCTTAGAGCAGTGGTGGGATTCAAAAATTTTTTACTATTGGTTCTGTGGGTGTGGCTTGGTGGGCATGGTGTGGCTTGGGCGTGGCTTGGTGGGCACGATGGGGAAGGATACTGTAAAATCTCCATTCCTAACCCACTCCAGGGGGAAGAGTACTGCAAAATCCCATTCCCTCCCCACCCCACTAACCTGATTTCCAGCTCCGTTCTCCTGTGCAGGGCAACAAAAGAAGACCCAGCTGATCAGCTGGGACTCAATGGGAGGCAGAGAAGAGATGGGGGCAGGGCCAGTCAGAAGTGGGATTTGCTGGTTCTCCAAATTACTCAAAATTTCCGCTACCGGTTCTCCAGAACCGTTTAGAACTGGCTGAATACCACCTCTGCCTGAGGGACCGTCTCATCCCACTGAGATTGGCCTGCCCCACCTGCCTGGTGAGGGGGGCATGCTGTGGGCCCCACGGACCAGGGAATTCTAGCTAGTGGGATCTAGGAGAAAAGATCTTCTCTGCCATTCCTCAGGAACATCTCACCTCCTGGAGTGAGATCAACTCCAACCCTCTGATCTTTTGTAAGAGCCTGAAAACCAGGTTCTGCCGATTGACTTGGGGATCAATGGAGGATTTTCACATGGGGGTGGTTGATCGTTTAATAACAGATCCCACCTCCCCTCCCCCTGCTCAGCCCATTCCTTCCCTTCCCGCCTTTTAGTTACTCTATTTTGTATTTTTACAATTTTGTAGTACAGGTAGTTTTTCATTTACAAAAGTTTGTTTAGCGACTGTTCAAAGTTACAGTTAGACTGAAAAAATGGACCCATCTCTGTTTTTCCTATTTACGACCGTTCACATGATCAAAATTCACACCCTTGGCAACTGACTTATGTTCATGACGGTTGCAGTGTCCTGGGGTCATGAAAAATGACCATCTGGAGTTGCAAAACCCCTAAGTCTCATATACGTAACTGTTGCAACCGGATATATTTACAGGCAGTCCTTGATTTATTGAGCCCAACATTTCTGTTGCTGAGCAAGACAGTTGTTAAAAGAGCATTGCCCCATTTTAAGACCTGCCTCACTACCATTGTTAAGCAGTTGTTAAGTTAGAAACATGGTTGTGAAGTGAATCTGGCTTCCCCATTGAATTTGCTTATCAGAAGTTTGCAGGAACTGATAGAATAGAATGGAATGGAATGGAATGGAATGGAATGGAATAGAATAGAATAGAA